ACTCTCGGTCCTGGTCTGAGTGATGGTCCCAGTCTACGGCGCTGGGGAGCATACTTCCGTTGCTGTTGAGCAGCCTTTCGTAGGGCTACTCGTGCTTTCCGCCATGCCCGTCGACACCTCTGAACCAGTCGAGCCGCAGCTGGCACACGGACCTCGGGATCCTGTTCAGGGAATAGAGGGGGGGGAAACCAAACTGGCATTCAAAAGGGGACATGCCCAAAGAAGAATGGTGTAGTGTGTTATGTGCAAATTCCGCCCAGATTAAGTGAGAGCTCCAAGCCGTCTGGTTGTTGGACACCAAGCATCTGAAAGTCTTCTCAACCTCCTGGTTGACCCTCTGTCTGTCCATTCGATTGGGGGTGAAAACCAGAGGACAGGCTAATGGATGCCCCAATCAGACGCCCGAACGACTTTCAGAACTGAGATCCTCGGTCGGTCACCATATCCTGGGGAAAGCCATGGATTCTGAAGACATGCTGCATTAGCAACTCCGCTGTCTGACCTGCTGTGGGAATCTTGTGTAATGGTATGAGATGACAAGCCTTGGAAAATCGGTCTACCACCACCAGAATTACAGTGTTACCTTGAGAGCTTGGTAGACCCGTCACGAGTTACGAAGTCCAATGATATGTGGGACCAGGGGCGTGTAGGGATGGGTAGTGAGTGCAGTAAGCCATGAGGGTGGGTCCTGGGCTCCTTGTTCTGGGCACACACACACATTGCAGGCAGCAACAAAAGTCCGAACGTCCCGCTGCATTTTGGGCCACCAAAACCTTCTCTGAATGAGTTTCAATGATCTCGTGCTCCCAGGATGGCCCGAAGACCGAGAAGCATGACCCCACTGTAACACATCAGACCGCATGGAATTAGGCACAAATAGACGACCCAGAAGTCCGTTACCTGGATCAGGATCTCGCCGTTGGGCCGCGTTCCGAAGGTCCAATTTAGTGAAGATGGCCGCCCCTTGAAGGAGTTCAAAGGCTGTGGTCATTAGTGGGAGAGGGTAGCGGTTCTTGACCGTGATGCGATTAAGGCCCCGGTAGTCAATACACGGCCGAAGCCCACCATCCTTCTTTCCCACAAAGAAGAAACCAGCCCCTGCCGGTGATGTAGATGGCCGGATGAACCCACTGTTGAGAGCGTCATTGATATACTCCTCCATGGCAGTTCTCTCTGGGGCGGAGAGGGAATAAAGCCTCCCTCGAGGAGGGTAGGTCTCTGGTAGCAGATCAATAGCACAGTCATATGGTCTGTGGGGTGGCAAAGAGGCTGCGCGGGTCTTGCTAAAAACTTCACAGAGGTCTGCATATTCTAAGGGGACTCGAGATAGCTCAGGAGGCAGCACCTGGACTCCAGAAGAGACAGCTCGAGATAGTTAGCAGCTCTGTGGTTTGGACTGATGGTCTGTGAAGAACGGACAGCAACTCGGGAGTGGTTGGTCTGGGGTCCGAAGGTGTCACCAGCAACTCGGAAAACCAACAGAGGGAGCGACCTGAAATACCACAATTCGTACCCCAGTCAATCACTACCCTGGCTGTCCAGTCTATATGGGGATTGTGAAGGGATAGCCAGGGGAAACCAAGAATTAAAGGGAACTCTGGTGAATGGATCAAGAAGAACTGTATCCTCTCCCTATGACGACCACTCTGGAGATGGAGGGGTATAGTGCACTGTCCCACCTGACCGGAGCCCAGGGGTCTCCCGTCCAGTGCCGTTATGGTCAGGGGTTCTTGAAGGAAGATAAACTGAATTCCTAGTTGTCTGGCCAAAGTAAAGTCCATAAAATTCCCCGCAGCCCCTGAATCAAGGAAAGCCAGAAGCCTGTGATGTTGGTTACCCCACTCCAGTGATACCTTGAGTGACACCCCAGAAGCTGCTGGTTGGGGAACAGTGGTTACTCTCGTCCCAGCCCCCCTCTTCTTGGACGAGAGTTGTCTTTTCCCGTCAACTCTGGGCAGTTGACTCTGAAGTGGTCGGGCTTACCACAATACAGGCAGCATCTCTCCCTCATGCGCCGTTCTCTTTCAGCCTGTGACAGTCTGGCCCTTCCCAACTGCATGGGTTCCTCAATTCAAGAGATGGGGGAAGGAAACTGGAGCCCACCCAGAAGCCCATCTGTGCTTTCGAATGCGGTTGTCCACTCTGATCGCGGTGTCGATAAGGGACTCTAAGTCCGGAGCCAGATCCTGGAAGGCCAGTTCATCCTTGAGCTCAGGGGATAGGGCATGGCGAA